GTCATTCAAACCTAAAACATGGAAGCCATCTTTAACACCATCCCTTTTATCATTCCTCATATTCAATCCAACAGCAAGTAGTGTTGGATCTGTCTCCAGAATATCTTGAATGTGTCTATTTTTCTCCATCCTCTCTGCCCAAACCCTCTAAGCCACCGTTTCCTCTCACCTGCAATGACTTCATGCAGTGACTCCATGCTGGTGACTTCATTTGCTTTTTATCCCAAAACAGTAATATTTTTCCAAAAAAAAAAAACAATTTAAGTCATGTAGTGTCACTTTCTTCCTTCAGTAACTTCTATTTTAGAAGAAAACCCAAATTCCATACCTTTATCTGCAGAATCCCACATGACCTGACCCTGCTTCTCTACGTTATCTCAAATCACTCCCTCCAACATTTCTTTCTAAACACACTGTCATTCTTTCTGGCCTGCAACAGCCAAGCTCTTTCTTATCTTCAGGCCTCTGCATCTAACTGCATTCACTATGCCTGGGAAACTCTAAATGTTAGTTGGCTGACTCCTCCAACCTTCAGGTTCTGGCTCAAAAGTCACTTTCTACAGGCCTCATGCTATATCTGAAATGGTCATCATGTGTTATAATTTATGTCTCTCCCCTACTAGAATTTCACTTTGAAAGAAGCCTTGTTTCTTTTTTTGTTCTCTATCCCCAGCACCTAGAATATTCCTTGCTAACTAAATATTTAGTTTAACGAATGAAAGAATGCCATCAGCAAAAAGTTAGGAATGAATCAAAAAGTGTTTTCATCTATCATGACTTCATTTCCAGACAAATACTTGGACTATCAGGTACCTGTATTTTTGCTTGAGTCACTGGTTCTCTTAAGTGGAATATATTTCCTCCAATATAGCTTCATCATTTGAAAATGGACATAAAGCATTCAGAATGTGAGCAGTTGTTCATTAACATTTGCCATAGTTGGATATGGTTCATTTACCTCCACCAAAATTTCATGTTGTAATTTGATCCTTGGTAGGGGTGTTGGGAGGTGGAGCCTCGTGGGAGGTATTTGGGTCATGGGGACAGATCCCTCTTGAATGGCATGGTGCCATTCTCACAATGGCGAGAGTTCTTGTTCTCCTGAGACTGGATTGGATTTTGAGAGAATGGATTCGTTCCCAGGAGAGTAGGTTGTTGCTCCTGCATCACCTTTGACCTCCACCATGATTTAACTCAACACAAAAACTCCCACCAGAACCTGAGCAGGTGCTGGCGCCGTGCTTCATATACAGCCTGCAGAACCGTGAGCTAAATCACCCTCTTTTCTTTATAACTAGCATCAGATATTCTTTTATGGCAACACAAAATGGACTGAGACAATACTGTTAAGTTATATGCTTTGAGTAAAATAATATTTTGAATTCTACAGAATTCCTTCTTGTGAACCTAGCAGGTTTGGAGGTGAGATTTAAACTGCCCCTTTGATGCATCTTATACTTCATATGTTTAGATCACTGGCCCAGGGAGGTCAGGGAAGCTGAAGTTTGTGAACTATCTCCTTGGAATAAACACAGACTCATGAGGATTATGTGCTTAAAGTCTCCTAATGATTCATTTGCTACTCCGCTTCTTCACACCCCTCAAAGAGCTTCAGCCCTAACTCCATATAGCTCTGGGTCCTATGCCTAGCACTGCACACTGCAGGGAGAACATCACAGAGCTGGGTATGTGTGCCCAGAAGCTGCAGAAGAAACAGCTAGGTTGCTGTGATGTGAATGCTGGCCACCCAGGTAGAAACTCTGGGGCACAGCGGGCCACTGGGCTCACAAAGCCCATGTGAACAGTGGACTCCTTCCATGGTCAGTAATCTGCTCTAGCAGACTGCAGCAGTGTGCTGCCATACTTTGTCCTCTGCTTGCCATGCTTAAGGTAACTATTCAGCAACACATGGACACTCTTCAATTCTGGAAGCTCCCAAGTGCCATGTTCAATTCAGAAACCAATGGAAAATCTTCAGTATGGGGTGTCCAGATAAATCATCTGGATACTGATCCCATCAGTAATAGAGATGAGTTGTCTTCTAAATGTGTGAATGATTGTTTCATAGAACCAAGAGTATGATGGTGTGAACCACAAGTACTGGATGGCAGATCTTCTAGCAGACACATAAATCAAGCTACATCAGTTCCATCAGTTCAGAGAAGATGTCGCCACTGCTGTATGTGTTGTCAGGGTGGGCTTACTGTTGGAACAACTCATTTTTCTCACATGTCAGTAGCTTAACACAATAAAGGTTTGTTTATTCTCATGTCACAGTCCAGTCAGTTCAGTGGGGGTTCTGAAGGGGGTGGATGTCTTTGCTCCAAACAGGCCTCTGGGGATCCAGTCTTCTTCCTTCTAGTGCAGGGGTTCTTAATGTGGACTCCACAGGTCCCCAAAGGGGTTCACAGAATCCAAGAGGTCGGCAAACCTGCATGGGGGGAAAAAGTGTATCTTTATTTTCACCAACCTTTTAACTATAATTTAACATTTCCTGTAATTATGATTTAAGGCATCAAGCCATAATAATGTTAGCACCACCTGTGACTTTAATACCAATCAAAATCATAGACATTTCATATCACATTACAATTTTAGTAGGTATCATTTATTAATAACACTACTTTAAAATCATGGTAGATATTAGGCCCACTTCAAGGTCTTATTATTTACTGCATTAATTAGAGAGCACATATATTGCCATATTGCAAAACACTTTTTAAATTCAAATTTACTTTAGATTCAGGGGGTACATGTGCAGGTTTGTTACACGGGTATATTGGGTGATGCTGGGGTTTGGGATACAACTGAGCCTGTCACCCAGGTAGTGAACATAATACCCAATAGGTCGTTTTTCAACACTTAGCCCCTCCCTACTTCCCTCCTCTAGTAGTCCCCAATGTCTGTTATTTCCATCTTTATGTCCATGTGTACCCATTGTTTAACTCCCACTTATAAGAGAGAACACGCAGTATTTCCTTTTCTGTTTCCACATTAATTCACCTAGGATAACGGCCTCCAGTTGCATCCATTTTGCTGCAAGGGACATAATTTCATTCTTTTTCTTGGCTATGCAGTACTCCATGCTGTATGTGTACCACATTTTACCTGTTCATTCCACTGACACGTAGGTCAATTCCATGTCGTTGCTACTGTGAATGATGCTGCGATGAGCATGCAAGTGCATGGGTCTTTTTGGTAACATGATTTATTTTCCTTTGGGTATATACCCAGTAATGGGATTGCTGGGTAAATGGTAGTTCTATTTTTAGTTCTTTGAGAAATCTCCAAACTGTCTTCCACAATAGCTGAACTAATTTACACTCCCATCAACAGGGTATATCTCATTTCCTGCATCCATTATTTTTGACTTTTTGATAATAGCCATCTGACTAGTGTGAGATGATATCTCATTGTGGTTTTGATTTGCATTTCTCTGATGATTAGTGATATTGAGCATTTTTTCCTTTTTTCTTTTTTTGGCCACTTGTATGTCTTCTTTGAGAAGTGTCTGTTCATGTCCTTTGACCACTTTTTAATGGGATTAAAAAATATTTAATTTTTTTTCTAGCTGTCTTTATAATTTTATATATTTTAAACATTAAATAACACTATTCTGAGAAAGATTCATAGGTTTCGCCAGACTGCCAAAAGGGTTCATGGCAAACAAAAAATTAAGAACTCTGATCTAGTGGTTTTGCTGTCCCCTAATTAACCTTTGTGCCCTTTGCATCTAATCATCAGAGCAGGCTGGGGTGACACTGGGAAGCAGTTTATGGGAAAGGCTTAGAAGAAATGTGAGTCACTTCTCCTCCATCAGCCCTAATTCCGTGACATGATGCCACTTGACTGCAAGGGAGGCTGGGAAACAAGGTCTAGCTGTGTACCCAGCAGGAAAAGGAAATGGAGCTTGGTGAACACATGGAAGTGGCTGTCACTATACCCAAGAGAACAGTCAGCAAAGAGGTGGCATCCCAGTGACAAGGGACCTCCCTGGAGAAAACTCGCTTTCTATAAAATTTACTCTAGGAAGCATAATCATAATAATCCAGCAATAGCTGCTGTTGGTTGAATGATTATTCCTGTCAGCATTCTGTTAACCAATTCACTTCCATAATGTCATTTAATCCTCATAATAATGCTGTGAGACAGGTACTATTATTATTCCTATTTTATAAATAAGAGCACTGAGAACTTGTGAAATAAGCCCAAAGTCAGTGCTCTTAATCATGGTACTGAACTGTTTTGGAAAATACTGCCCCAGCCTGAGCAACATGACAAAACTCTGTCTTTACCAAAAATACAAAAAATTAGCTGGGCATGGTGGCACGTACCTGTTATCTCAACTACTTGGGAGGCTGAGGTGGGAGGATCGCTTGAGCCCAGGAGAGACGCAGGCTGCAGTGAGCCACAATTGCGCCACTGCACTTCAGCCCAAGTGACAGAGTCAGACCCCATGTCAAAAAAAAGGAAAAGAAAATACGGAGACCCTTGTTGAAGAAGGCGGAATCGTGTACTGGTGAGAGGATGCTTTCTGGAGCCAGAGTCCCTGGATTCATATTTCAACTTTGCCAGTAGCTGGTTCATTGACCAGATACTTTCTACTAGAGCTTTTTATGCATCTGTAAAGTGGAGATTAATATTAGTATCTGTCTTTTAGGATTAAAAGAGATAAACACTTAAGACCGCACCTGGCACATAGTAAGTGCTCAGTGAATGTTATCTACTGTTTTGACAGCCGAAATGGCCCTGTGACTACCTTCATGAACATGATCTGAAATATTCCAGCAGAGCTCATTTCTCATGAAGGATATGAGGAAATAACTGAGGTCACCAAGATACTCACAAACCTGGGGGTACCTACAACAGTGTGTTGAGTTATAGTCAAGAGGCTGGGGGTGCTATTATTTTTCTAATGAAGGAAAAAATATGTTGGGATGACAGAAAATGTTGTTAGAAAATAGTTTCCATTTTACTATCACTCTTTCTTCCCTTTACAGAATTCCATGAAGGTGATGTTCAAATGCCTCTGGAAAAACTGTGGCAAGGTGCTGAGCACCGCGGCAGGTATCCAGAAACACATCCGGACCATCCATCTGGGGTAAGGCAGCCCTCTCTTCAAGAATGTGGCCTCTATCTGCTCAGTCTAGGGCTACCCACACTCAGAAATTGCACACCACACTGTGCCTTAAAGGCTCTGGACACTGGGCAGGCTTTGTCTTCCTAATCTCTAAAGAGATGGCCACTCCAGATGATCTAAGCCAGTGTGGCACAGTGGAAAGGACAAGGATTTAACAGCCTAGAGCCCAATTAGTTCACTTACTGAGTCACTTTAGGCAAGCTGCTACCCTGAGCCCCAGTTCCCTATGGAAATATATAATAATGTCAGCTCTTCAGGGTCAAGTGTGAGCGCCAAAGATAAAATGTATGTGAGAGAGAACTGTAAAGTACAAAACACTAGGGTAACCTGAAATCTGCAATTAGACTTCAGGGGGTCCTTGAACCCACTGAAATTACCTGTGGAATCATTTATTTTCCAATTGAGAGTATTCATGACTTTAAGCATATATAGCCTAAAAAGGATGCAAGAATCATCACACCAATTGATGCCACTGTTCCTATTCTTATGATGCCTCACTATCTGGCTCAATCGCTTTCTATTGCTCAGATAAGTCCTTTGTAAAATCTATACTTTTTCTCATATTATATAACTACCTTCTAAAGGAAAAATAAAATGAAGGTTTAGGAGCCATAGCAGTTACAGGTCACCCCAGGGGGCAGTGGTATTCCATCAGTCTTGTGCTTTTTCCCTAAGTCTGTCTTGTCCAAGGATCTGGGATTTAGAAGGGACCTTGAGAGGCTGTAAGTCACAACCAGTGTTCATAAGGCAAACACAAATGCGTGGCCAGGCTCCCATGTGCTTGGACACAGATGAGTCCTTTCTATAAGATAAATGCAGAGAAATAAGTGCAACAATCACTTTACCCAGCAAGGGATACATTTAGAAACTGCATCATGCAGGCCGGGCGCGGTGGCTTACGCCTGCAATCTCAGCACTTTGGGAGGCTGAGGCGGGCGGATCACCTGAGGTCGGAAGTTCAAGATCAACCTGACCAACATGGAGAAACCTCATCTCTACTAAAAAAAAATACAAAATTAGCCGGGCGTGGAGGTGCATGCCTGTACTCCCAGCTACTTGGGAGGCTGAGGCTGGAGAATCACTTGAACCTGGGAGGCGGAGGTTGCAATGAGCAGAGATCGCGCCATTGAACTCCAGCCTGAGCAACAAGAGCAAAACTCCATCTCAGAAAACTAACAAAAAAAAAGAATATGCATCATGCCCAACCAGTGGTATAGGCAGAAGGTAAAAATAACTTCTAAGGTGATGTTGCTAATCTACGAGGGTGGCTCCACAGTGACCATGGAGAGAAACAGGGATCCAGCTCTCTAATCATCCAGGCTGATGTGTGGGGACACACCAGAGCCTTCCAAAGCATATTACCCATAGGTCACCAGGCACTGGGGAGATGGTCCAGCAAAGCTTCTCTGGCCAGAGTCTGCCTTACCTCTAAGAAATGTCAATCAAAATACCTGAGGGCAAAACACCCTCCTTCTGGTCCTCAAGCCTTCAGGGAAGGAAATCCTGCAGTGTCTCCCCTGAAATCTCATTGTCAAGACAATTCACAATATAAGCAGCTCAGTTTTTTAAAGTTTAGAAAGAAATTCTCAAAGCTAGAGGCAGGAGGTAGGGTATTTGTTTTAAAGTCTGTCTGCCCAGAAAATGGAGTCCTATTCAGCCCTGTCAGAAGCACATGCTGTATATCTGTAGTTATAGACCCTGGAAGTGGTATCACGTTAGTCCTGTGAGCTCCTGGGGTGCTCTCACAGTGGGTGGATTCCAAAATGCAGCCACTTTATTTGCTTTCCTAGGATCCCCTTTTTCCTAATGTGCTTTTAGAATTTCCCTGGTGAATTATGGTTGACAGCCTGCCAGGCACCACACAGGAATGGGCCTGCGTTAGCAGGACTCCAAGGCCAATCTATGTTTATGAAGCCTGGGGCCTGTGCTCTCTCGTGCACTAGGGGAGAGAACACACCTTTGCCTTAATCCATGAGCTCAATGACATGGCTGTAGGATGATGGAGCATTTTTAATGAGTATTGGCTGGTGAGGAGATGAGGAGGGAAACATGTCTAAGCCGGAAGAAAATAGGTCCTCGCCTCTGATGTATCTGCGGTGCACACCATGCCTGTATAAAAAGCACACCACTTTTCTCTTCAGTCTCACTCCATTCTTGTACACCAGGGGCTGGTCCTGATTTATCCCCACGTGGGACATAATGTGCCCTAGGCCTGTGTGTCTATTAGGAGCACTTGGCAGCCAGCAGCAACTCAGTTTGCCTTTAACTGGAAAGGAAGTGGGGACAGGAATAGAACAGACACTTGTTCTTCTTCCCACTCTCTGGGGTCTTTAATGGTATGCTGGTCACAAGGCCAAGCCCAGACAGACCTGATACAGTGCAAAGACACCTCCCCAGGCATCTCAGCCTGGGAGCTCAGGGGAAATGGAGCTGGTCTGGGACAAGCCACTGATTTAAACAAACAGACCTGGGAAGAGGTGAGGTGTAGATTTTTATGTTAGGTCTCTGCAGAGCTCATTAGTGGAGAAAAGGTATGTTCTGAGTCAGTGATCTGCTGCTGCAGTGAGGGGACACCCATTCCCTCTGCCCAGCCATCCTGGAAAACCAGGTTTCTAGAGAAAAGAAGCACCACTTCTCTACAAAGGCACAAATCATCGAATACACATTTTCTGACATTATGGAGAGTTATTTTATTTTACTCCAAAACTTTCTGTGGAAAAGTGCAATGTTCTATGTTTCAGGGAGAGGAACTGTGAGAACACCTAAGAAGCTACTTTTCCTGGTGATGGTAAAAATTGAGACCTAACACAGTCTTTGTTTTTGTTTAATAAGCACTTTACGTAGTGTTTATATTGTGTCAGTTCCTCTTCTAAGCACCCTGTATTTATTAGCTTAATCGTCACAATAATCAAGTACTATAATTATCCCCATTTTATAAGTGGGGAAACTGAGGAACAGGGGCTACATGTAGGCTGCCAAAATCACGCACACAACTAGAATGTGTAGGAGTCAGGGTTTGAACCTAGGAAGTCTGACTCCAAAATCCGTTCTCTTAATCACTGTGCTGCAACCACCTCAGCTCCATTCATTCACTCATTCACTCATTCATTCAGGTAACATTTACTAGGTACCTACCCTCTGCCAAATACACCGATATGTGTGGAGTGACACAGGATGAACAAAACACATCCCTAGAGAATCAGTCATAGTGAGGCGACAAAGAGGTTTAAAAAAATGCAGACAGGTACCCAGTGATTAACAAAAGGAATGAGTAAACACACTTCAGAGGGAGCACAGACCACTAACAGTTAGGAGTGAAGTCCTAACTCCTAACCTTTAGAATACACCAGGGACTTAATGTCTCAGCCCTTGCACTGCTGGCCTGCCCGGCTCATCTGGAATATTGCTGACAACAGCTTCTCAGTGGCCTCTGCTTTTGCTCTTGTCTTTCTGTCCTCTATTTCTCAGACAGTCTACAGAGTGATCCTTTTTATATTAAGTTAGAGTTCTGAAAACCCCCAATGGCTTCCACCACATTCGAATGCAAGCCAAAGCCATTGCTGTGGGCCACAGGCCCTGGATGACCTTGCCTCTGCCCTGTTCTGACTCTGCCCATCACTCCCTGGTGTCCCAAGCTCTAGCCTCTGGCCTGCCAGGCCTGCCCACCCGAGGGCTCTGCGTCACTCCTCCCTGGTCTGTTCTCACCATGGGTGCCACCATAGTAGCTCCCCAACTTCATCCAGGCAGGTCTCTGCTCAGACAGCACCTCCTCAGAGAGGCTTCCTCTGGCCACTCTATTTAAAATAGCACCTGCCATCACTGATCCTGCTTAACAACTGTTATGCTGCTGAATTTTGCTTTCTAGGACTTAGTAACACCTGATATATTAAATATCTATTTCTTTTCTTAATTTTTTCTTAAATTTTTTCATCTCTTTTTATTTTCATAGATTGAAGGGTACAAGTGCGGTTTTGTTACCTGGCTGTGTTGCACCACAGGGGTGAAGTCTGGGCTTCTAGTCTAACCAACACCCAAATAGTCAACGTGGTACCCCGTAGGTCATTTCTCATCTCTGCCTCCCTCCCACTCTCCCCCTTTCAAAGTCTCTGATGTCTATTATTTCACTTTCTATGTCCGTGGATATACATTATTTAGCTCCCATTTATTAAATATCTATTTATTTATGGGTTTCTTGTCTACCTGTAAGTTCCCACTGTAAGTTCTGTCAGAGCAGTCTATATTTTCATTATATTTAATATATAATAAAATATAGATATTGTTATCAGGAGACCCTGAACGGTGCCCAAACATAGATTTTCAGTAAATCATTGATGAATAATTGATTGAATGAGTGATGAATGAATTAATGAATTGCTTTAAGACATCAAGGAAGGGTTCCCTGGAAGTAGACATTGGGAACTGAGTGCTGCAGGATAAGCAAGAGTTTGCAAGGCAGACAAGAGGGAAGAAAAGAATTCCAGACAGAGGGAAAAAGCATGTGCAAGATTTCAAGACAAGAAAACAGACTGGCTTAGTATGATTGTTTTACTCTCTTTTGCATTAGGCGTGTTGGGGATTCTGACTACAGTGATGGAGAAGAGGACTTTTACTACACTGAGATCAAGCTCAACACAGACTCAGTGGCAGACGGGCTGAGCAGCCTGGCCCCAGTCTCACCTTCCCAGTCCCTGGCTTCGCCTCCTACTTTCCCCATCCCAGACTCAAGCCGAACAGAAACTCCTTGTGCCAAAACGGAGACTAAGTTGATGACGCCCTTGAGCCGCTCAGCTCCCACCACCCTCTACCTCGTGCACACTGACCATGCTTACCAGGTGACTCGCAGGGGACTGTGAGAGCAATCACTTTGACCTTGACCAAAACCAGTGGCCATCTGGCCTATGAGTAAAAGATTACTTGGTGGAAAAACAAAATCACACACAGCAGTCTGGTAGCTGTGTGTTTTTTTTTTCTCCCTTTAAAGCCAAGAACTCACACAGATGGGGTCCTATGGTCTAGTCTCAGATTGTTCAGTGCTGCCTGCAGATTCCATTCCATACGGGCGGTTATGATGATAAAAATCCCTAATGTTACAGAGCCCTCAAAATGGTACCTGGCACATTACATAATTACCTATTTTTTAAAAATAAGGCCAGGCACAGTGGCTCGTGCCTGTAATCCCAGCGCTTTGGGAGGCCAAGGCAAGTGGATCACTTGAATTCAGGAGTTCTAGATCAGCCTGGGCAACATGGTGAGACCCCATATCTACAAAAAAACAAAAATTAGCCAGGCATAGTGGTATGTGCCTATAGTCCCAGCCATTTGAGAGGCTTAGGTGGGAGGATCACCTGAGCCCAGGGAGGTTGAAGCTGCAGTGAGCTGTGACCACTGCACTCCACTGCACTCCAGCCTGGGTGACAGAGTAAGAGCCTGTCTCAAAAAAATAAATAAAAAGTAAGCATTGGAAAGCTTTGGTACAATGGCAGAATCATATTCCAAATCTGGGACTTCATGCCCTGCCTTCTAAATGGATAATTAAGCACCTTAGATTAGAGTAGTGGTTCTCAATGTTCAGCAAATCAACAGTGCCATCATCATCTGGGAACTTGTTAGAAATGTAAATTCTTGGGACCACCCCTCACCCTCCTCTGCTCCCCCGCCCCCCCCACCAACCCTGCGTTCTGTTTTAACAGACCCTCCAGGGAATCCTGAATCATGCTAAAGTCTGACAAGACCTTAGGAAAAAGGCCTGCAAATTTAGGACATGGGTAAAACTCCTTTTTTCCCCCCAGAAATTACTTTTTTTTTTGACACGGGATCTCACACTTTCTCTCAGGCTGGAGTGCAGTTCACTGCAGTCTCCAATTCCTATGCTCAAGCAATTCTCCTGCCTCGGCCTTCCAAGTACCTGGGACTACAGGTGTGCACTACGACATCCAGCTAATTATTTAAATTTTTTTGTAGAGATGAGTTCTCACTATGTTTCCCAGGCTGGTCTCAAACTCCTGTCCTCAAGCAATCCTCAACACTGACCTCCCAAAGCGCTGATTATAGGCTTGAGACACCATACCTGGCCATTAACTCTTTTAAATGTTGATTCGTTTTTATACAATGTTAATACATTCAAGTTTAAAAAAAAATTTCCCATAATTCTCAACTACCTTATGGAACTTTTTAAAATCTCCTTTACATACTTATAATTATGTTCTCCCACCCTTGTTTTATAAAAACTCTCCATTTAACTAAATAATATTCAATTAAATTGAAACACCAAATTGTTTTAATCATTCTTGTTATTTACTTTTTAATCTATCCTATTTTTCATCATCATTAATAACTCCACTGTAAACATACCTGATCCTGTAGTGTTTATTTTTTCTTTAAATTCCCAGAAGAATAATTATTGAGTCAGAGGATGTAATATGAATGAACAGTTTATGGCTCTTACTATGTATTGCCAAAATGCTTTCCAGTGTACCAGTTGCAAACCCCCTGCCACTAGCAAATATATTTGTAATCAGAAAATTACACCTATAGAGGAAAAATTTAACCACTAATTTAGCAGACTTAAACTCAAGAGTAATGGAATAGAGCTAATGTTTGAATTAGTATAATAAATTTCATTCCTGACTCTTATTATATTGGTCAAAATGAATAATTAATTCATCTTTATTTATCACCATTGCACTTAGGTCAGAAAGCACGGGAACCAACTTAGTTAAATCATTTTGCTCATCTATATAATGAGAAAGTTAGAATACACCCTAGTTGATCCAGAAGGTCCTTCCCAAAACCATAAACTTACAAATATTGAGACTTTTCTGTTTATAGAAATTATAAATGTTTAGCATAGAAAATATTAAACACAGTAAAGAGAGGAAAGTAATTCCTTATTCCATTGACCCGAGAGCCCTTTAGTTTTTCTATGCACTTTAAGACTTTGTGCTGTGTTTTTATATATACAGTTTTTAAAAGGGATCTGTTGCAGAACTGTTTTTTTCTATTTAATATATCATGAACATTTTCCCATGCCAGTGAATCTTCTTCTTCAACAACAACATTTTTGATGCCTAATATTTATACATATTTGTGGGGCACACATAACATTTTGTTATATGCATAAGATATGTAATAATCAAATCAGGGTATTTTGATTATTAATCACTTTGTGCATTTATCATTTCTGTGAGTTGGGAACTTTTCCAGTCCTCTCTTCTAGCTATTTTGAAATATAAAAATACACTGTTGTTACCTATAGTCACCGTACTCTGCTATCAAACATTAGTTCTTATTTTTTCTATCTAACTGTATGTTTGTACCTACTTAACCAACGTCTCTTCCCACCTTGGCCCATCACACCCTCCCCCACCTCCCGTAACTATCATTTTATTCTCTACCTCCATGACATCAATTATTCTAGTTCCCACGTATGACTGAGAACATGTGATATTTGTCTTTATGTGCCTTGCTTAGGTCACCTACCATAATGACTTCTAGTTCCATTCATATGGCTGCAAATGATATGATATCATTGGTTTTCATGGCTGAGTAGTATTCCATTGTGTTCTTATCATATTTTGTTACTTCATCTGTTGATGGACTCTCAGGTTGATTCCATGTTATCTTTGCTATTGTGAATAGTGCCACAGTAAACTGAGAGTGCAGGTATCCCTTTGATACACTGATTTCCTTTCCTTTAGATAAATATCTAGGAGTGGGATTGCTAGATTATATGGTAGTTCCGTTTTTAGATTTGGGGAAATCTCCATACTGTTTTCCATAATAGGTGTATTAATTTACATTCTCACCAATAGTATATGAAAGATCCCTTTTCTCTGCTTCCTCACCAGCATCTGTTATTTTTCATCTTTTTAATTATAGCCAGTCTGACCAGGGTGAGATGATACCTCATTGTGGTTCTGATAAGCATTTTTCTGATATTATAGATGTTGAGCATTTTTCGATATATCTATTGGTCATTTGTATGTCTTCTTTTGAAAAAGATTTATTCAGGTCCTTTGCCCACTTTTTAATGGAATTATTTGGTTTTGCTATTGAGTTAGTAGTCTCTTGTCAGATGAATAGTTTATGAATATTTTCTCCCCTTCAATAGGTTGTCTCTTCACTCTATTGTTTCTTGTGTTGTGCAGAAGCTTTTTAGTTTAATATAGTCACATTTGTCTGTTTTTGTTTTTGTTTCCTATGCTTTTGAAGTCTTAGCCATAAAAATGTTCTGGAGTGTTTTTCTTGTGTTTTCTTCCAGTAGCTTTATAGTTTCAGGTCTTACATTTACGCCTTTAATCCATTTTGAGTTGATGTTTGTAAATGACAAGAGCTAGGGGTCTAGTTTCACGTGTTTGCATGTGGATATCCAGTTTTCCCAGCAGCATTTATTGCTGCTGGGAAGAGGTTGTCCTTTCCCAGTGTATGTTCTCATCACCTTGGTCAAAAAATCAGTTGGCTATAAATATGTGGACTTATTTCTTGGTTCCCTACTCTGTTCCACATTCTGTATATGTGTCTGTTTTTATGTCATTTTAACAACATTTGAATGACTCTGTAGGTATATCATTATTTATTTACCTACTTCCCTATTACTGGGCTTTTGTGTTGTTTCCAGTTTTTTGTTTGTTTTTGTTTTGAAACAAGGTTTCATTCTGTTGCCAGGCTGGAGTGCAGTGGCATGATCATAGTTCACTGCAACCCCGAACTCCCAGGCTCACATAATCTTCCTATCTCAGTCTCTCAAGTAGCTGGAACTACAGACACACACCACCAAACCTGGCTAATTTTTTTATTTTTAGTAGAGTCAGAGTCTCACTGTGTTGCCCTTGCTGGTCTCTAACTCTGGGCTCAAGCGATTCTCCTCCTTCTGACTCTCAAAGTGCTGGGATTACAGGCATAGGCTACCATGCCCAGCCCCAATTCTTTTTTATAATATATAGTTGTGCAATGAACATTCTTGTGTACATTTCTTTAGAGTGAATTCCTAGAAGTGGAATAGCTAACACCCAGCATGCTGAATTTTTATATATATTGCCAAATTACCTCCCAAGAACATTGTACCAGTTTACACCCACCCTTACAGTATACCACTATTTCCCAATTTTATAGTGAAAAATTGTATCTCACAGGTATCCCAAAATAGGTATATGTATATATAATAAAATTCATTTTCAGAAATCAACAGTCAAAAAACATCTCTTTTTACACCTTAGATAGCTTGCTAAGGTATATATACAAAGTTTATTTCTGGCTACTCCCTTTAACCTTGTTTAATCTCTTCCTGTTAGATAATTAGTCTAAGTTATTAATATAGACGAGACCATTTCTGAGGTCCTCCTTTGGTAATAAGAACTTAGGTCTCTGAAGGAAAATATTTCTTCATAACAGCTTTCTCTGTTTTTTATTTGACAGGCCACACCCCCTGTGACCATTCCAGGATCAGCCAAGTTCACCCCCAATGGCAGCAGCTTCAGCATTTCCTGGCAATCTCCTCCAGTCACTTTCACAGGCATTCCAGTAAGTAGAAAAAAAAAAAAAAAGCCAAAAATCTGGTCAAAGCCAATATAGAATAAATCTAGAGAAGAAATAGTAGAGGCATGCAAGAAAAATACAAACATCAGAATGCCAGAAGTAGGATATTTCTTACATGATATTTGTAAACTCAACAGCAGGTATCACTTCTCTGCAAAAAGGTGTTTTGACTGGTGTTTCAGGAAACTAGAAGAGAGTTTTAATGATTCATAAACAACTTGTTGGAAATATATCAAGATTTTTTTATGTGTTGATAGTGTATTTGTTTCCAAAAGACTATAAAATTAATAGCTGAACTCAGATCTTGTATGGAAAAAATGGTGTTTATCATCATAAGTTAACTATAAAATGTATTACTTAGGAAAGACTGTTCTGTACGTATGTGCTTTTAAAGGCTCAAAAAATACATTAAAATCATTTCTTCTTTCAAAGTCTGAATAATCCATGCTGACGGATAATCTGGAAATAAATGAGTGCTGAAATATGCAATCGGAATTAAGTAGGACATAAGAATTGATTTGACGTACTAAATGATTCATGTCTGATAAATCACTGAATTAACTTGATTCCTAACCATTCATTTAAAAATATATTGGGTTTTTTATAGTTTATCACAAATAGCCATAGACATGCACACTGTTGATGCTCACAGTGGTGTATAACTCCTGATGAGGTTCAGGAAGTGGCTTATGATAACAGATATTAACCTTATTATTTCTTCTCCACCCCCTCCCCAAGGACCTCACAAAAGCTTCTTATTGTCAACCACTGGCAACTCCCAGAGGTTTCCAGCAAAATCTAAGCCTTCTGTGGAGCTGATAAAAATGAAAGTGGCTGAATGAATTATGCTGTGCTCTGTTGATGAATATTTATTAAATTCCATAGAGGAATAGCCAACAATAAAAAGCATACTGCTGGAAGCAATTTGGGAAATGGTGACTTCCTGAAAAGACTTTGGGAATGTGATTTGTAAACAATACCATGGTTCTGGAGTCATTTTCAAAGTTGTATTTTCATTGAATAGTGTGTCTTCTGGTAGCTCTGCAAGAGTGATCTTGTTAGTAGACATTAGAAGAGAGCAGCTTAGACATGTCAGTATTAGTTTTGCTTCTGGCAAGAACATGGATCCACTGATGTGGGTGTCAGAGGTTAACAATCTGTCTGTTTGGGGACTCTTTTTTTTTTTTTGGTAGACATAAAAAGACCCAGAGTGGCTCTTGATATCACTTTCGAGACAGCCTCTCTGTATTAACCTAAAATGGCAGCCACAGTTAAAGAATTATTGAGACCATCTATTCTGCATCTTATTAATTCGTGCCTTTGACTTGGGAAGAATTTTCCCTGATGTATGGGAAGCATACACCATGTTGCTCATCTGGTACTATAGCATGTAGATAAAACAGCCCAGTTCAGACCTCTTTCAGACTATCTGTGACCAAGCTGGAATGTTTTTCTCCTTGCTTTTCTAATTAAATTTTCTTCTGAAGTATAGGGAAATCACTCGAGGGGCTATTTACTAGCTGCATGTCCTCCATGGTTCTTATAGGTCTTACACAGTAGAATACCAGCCAGGACACCTTATATCATTTGTTTTTCAACAATGGAATGTTAAAAATCTGCTATGTTTCTACCCTCATTTCAGTGCCCTTGATTTTTTACAGAATCCCTCATTTCCCTCTGTGTTGGTTACCTGGGACATTCTAGACAAAAGCTTTGACAGAAAGTATAGACATATGATATATAAAATATACCATAGCTGGATTAAATAGGTATTCCACCAAAATCCTATGTGAGCTGCTTTTTTTTTTCCTCCTGAGACAGGTTCTCAATCCATCACCCAGGCTAGAGCCCAGTGGTGCCATCATGGCTCACTGCAGCCTCAACCTCCCGGGGCTCAGGTCATCTTCCCCACTTCAGCCTCCTGAGTAGCTAGGACTACAGATGTACACTATCACACCTGGCTAATTTTTGTATTTTTAGTAGAGATGGGGTTTTCCCTTGTGGTCCAGGCTGGTCTTGAACTCCTGAGCTCAAGCAATCTGCCCACCTCAGCCTCCCAAAGTGCTGGGATTTTGGGCTTGAGCCACTACACCTGGCTGAAAGCTTCTAATTTATTTTTTCACCAGAGAATTCCCAATCTTGCTGATTCTGTAACCTGTTTCAGCAAAGACTTCAGATTGATTTTAGCAGTCTATTTAAAGATAAAATAAGAGTGGGGTGGAATTTTCAAAGGCTTATCTAGAAAGATAAGAAGGCTACAACTATCTTCAGGTGGGATAATCCTTACCTGTTCCTCCTTTGGAGGGCAGATAGAACATGATGATTGGAGTTGCATGAAACGTGATTAACGTCTCTGCGTAATCAGGACTTGCAACACCCTGATTGCTCCTGATTTAAAAAAAAAAAAAAGGCTACAGCTAAGAATGTTCTTTATGTTGCTAAACTCTCTACCCATGCTTTAAAAATAATAATAAGCAGGTGCTTACTGTCCTCCTCCTTCTCCTGGTGGGCTAGCTCTCATGACACCTTCTCCATGCATCTCATGATGCAGGACTGTTGCATACCCATGAACAGGGTGCCAGCAACTGTCCCCGAATGCCCCAGGAGTGCCAGTCCGGCCCCTAGAAGATGGCAAGCCAGGTGGAATTTAAGAATATGTGAATTCTTACCCTCTAAATTGGTATAATAGGGTTTTCAGACCAAATCTCTAAAGTTGTAAATTATAATGAATTTGTATTCATGGTGGCTTCAATTGTGTCCAAACTGAAGAATAAAGAAGTTTGCATGTTTTAAAATGCTTTTCAAAAAAAAAATACCTTTTTCCTTATACTGTAAAAAACTACCCTGAGGTTGTCAACTGTTTAGAGTCTACTTTTCTCCCACATCTTTGAGACTTGGTATTGAAGATGGATGCTTCTGTACACTTCCTAGAAAGTGGGAAAAATCCCTTTCTGAAAAATCCCAAGGGTTGCAGGATTTTATTTATTCATTTGCCTATGCTAGATTTCCTGAACATCGGGTTTTAATAAGTTCCCTGGGTAAGACCTCTTCCTGGAGGTATGTAGCGGAGAAAGCTGAACTGCATATTTAACAAATGTAACTGGAAGTTCAGTCTTTTGTAGCCTAAGGCTGTGGGGAGAAAGGTTGGAAAGAGAACATCCTTAATTACAACTTTCTTTGACATGTTTTTCCCTAATGACCTGCCTTTTCTCCTAATTATCTCCATTTCTTTCTCTCTTTTCATGACAGAAAACTAAGAGCTTTTGCCCCTTTATTAATCAGCTCAAGGCTGCCATAAAATACCATAGACTTGACAGCTTAAACAACAGAATTTTATTTCCTCACAGTTCTAGAGGCTAGAAGTCCAAATCAAGGTGTTGGTCAATTCAGTTCTGGTGAAGACTTCTTGCTTGTAGATGGCTGCCTTCTCACTGTGCATGCACGGTTAAGAGCGAGAGAGTGAGAGAGAGAGAAAAAAAAAGAGAGAGAGAGAGAGAGAAATTGAGAGAACAAGCACAAGTGCATTCCAGGACACTGGCAAGCCAGGGGAAGCGAGCATGGAGAAGGAGAGCACCAGCCTCTGATATCCCTTCTTATAAGGACACTAATCATGTTGGATCAGGGCCCCACCCTTGTGACCTCATTTAACCTTAATGACCTCCTTACAGGCCCTGTGTCCAGATACACCCACACTGGGGATTAGAGCTTCATCTCATGAATTTGAGGGACACAAAAATTCGATCTGTAACAGCCACTAAGCAAGCAAGTATGAGCTAGTCAACCTGCTATCCAAGAGCAGTTCTAGAAGGCTTCAGGCTGTCGGGGAGGGTGTCCAAAGATGAAACAGCAGAGCTTAATTGTCAAATGCTTAGCTGGTTTGAGATTTCTTTTTTAATGCCTTGAGGGAAGGTTCAGAATTATTTGAGGTTAAAACCAAGCCAGAGGCCTTTTTTCTCCCCTCTTAAGAAAAAATTAGAAAAAAAAGGAAATTTCCCCTGCATATTTACAGAAGGGCACAGCATCTCTAGCGTGAGACTTACTTGCAAATCCTGGCTCTGGCATTTGCGAATGCCATGTGACCCTTCCAAAGTAATATCCTCTACTAATATTACCTTACTGAGTTGTGTCATTCGCCCAGTGCCTGGCATGTGGCTGACATTGCAGATCTCTTACCATCATTGCTCCCTTTACTGTGTCTCAGCACTGTATAACAGGGGTCAGGGAAAGTGGCTCCTCCCCATTTAGAATTGATTCCTGTAACACAGATGTACTCAACACATGGGAAAGATTAGCCACAATTTTTATAGACTATAATTTAGAATTTTTCAGACTCTACTGAGGCCACACTTAACCAGTAGACAAACTATGGACATATAGCCCAATAATTTTATTTAATTAAAAGTATTATATTGTACTGTCCAAATACATTATATGCTTTATAAAATATGCCACAAAATAGAACTTAGAAATGGTTAAGAAATAAATTGAAATGCAGAGACCACTAGAAGACAGAGTACTTTATGGAGCTTTATTTTAGGACACATATCATTTCCACCAATGATGTGGCAGGATGGAAGAGTGCAAAAACCAGGGCTTTGGCGTCATTCAGAAGTGAGTCCAAGGCCAGCTATGTTCACGTCAGACAATGGTGTTCAAATCCTGAGTCCACCATTTACTAACTGTATAGCCTGAACAGTGCACTTAACTTCTCCATTTCCTCATCTATAAAATGAAACTGATGGCTATTACAGGGCAGTTGTGAAGACTAAATTAACATATGGAAGACACTTAGCTTATATAGCAGGCTCTCAGCAAATTACGTCTGCTACTTTTACCTCTGGGATGCTCTGCAGGCCACTTCCCTCCTCAAAACCTAAATTTCTGTATCTGTAAGATGTAGATATAGTTTACTTTGCAAGCTTGCTATGAGAATTAAGATATCTACTTGCCTGTCTTCCACATTTGCAAGCACTGAATAAATGGTA